GTTTCCAAGCTATCGCTTGTCTCGTGATGTAGTTTGATGATTTCCTCAATTTGTGTCTTATCCAATTCCAACGTCTCTTCCTCATTTCCCATTCAGATGGAAGTTGGTTCGTCCTCTCTCACAGAATAGTCTTGCTGATGGTATCCAGCCAATGGATGTTGAGTATCTTGTGTAGACAACTAATTATAAATACTTGTACCTTCATGATGATGGTTGTAGTCGTTCTCCATATTTCAGCTCCGAATAGTAGAACTGTCTTGATGTTCGTATTGAGGATTGTGAGTTTGATATTGCTTGACAGACAGTCGTTTCGAGTTCCATATGTTCTTCAATTGTAGGAATGCGGCTGTTGCTTCGCTAATCCTCGCCTTTACGTCTACATGTGATCCTCATTTTTCATCAATGATGCTTCTCACTTACGTGAAGGATTGCACATGTTCCAGAGTTTCGCCATCACGAGTGATTAGATTGGTGTTCTCCTTGTTGTATTTGAGGATCTTGCTTTTTCCATTGTGTATGTTGAGGCCTACTAATGCAGAGGCTGCTGCTACACTAGTTGTCTTCATCTGCATTATATATATTACATATAATACACTTGTTAAGTCAAATAGACTGGAAATGAAGGGTAAGAGGAGACAACGATAATAAAGACTGAAGGCCATGGGTTCTAATCCCTAGATCGGGATCTTGGATGCTCATTACTGAGGAATCCCACCATAGGACGAAACGGCCGTCCAGTGCTTTCAGGTTTCCAACGGTGGTGTAACATCAGTTGGTTCATGATCTCAACTGTTTAAATTATTACAATCTCCACAAAACCCCTTCTGAGAAATGAGATTATCATAATTATGATCACTTCTAAATATTATAGTTATAATTTAACTCAATAAATGATCGTAGATGTCTGTTACTGATAAGTTACCGATTAAACTGGAATATGTGTACATCTTTTCTTGGTGTTCAATAATTTTGTAAATTTTATCCTTCCGTGACAGAAACTTTTGATTAATTTCCCAATATATTCGTATATACATTAATTGTAATGTTAGCAAGTTAAAAGACTAAGGTAAATAAGATATCGAGTAGAAACCAGGAAGCTACGAACAGTTGTCTTGTCTTCGTACGGGAGTCTTCAACAGTGCACATTCATTGAAATCGTTATTTCTAACTTTAAATTAGTATCATGAATGGATCAATGTTAGACCACCATTAAAAACTTGGAAGCACTGGACGACCGTTTCGTCTTAGTACAGAACTCCTCCATAGTGCGCACCCACAGTCCTTGAATCCAGGCCCTTTGGGTTCTCACGCGAATTTAACAATCTCCACAACCTCAAACTGATCATTTCTAATTTTATTCACCTTTAATAAATAAGTGAAGTCTTAACAGCTATAATATCTAACAACTTTAAGAAAATGGATTTGTAACGTTTTAACAGCTAACTTACATTTATTACTTGTTACAAGGCAAAAAATAACAGTATTCACTTTATTCTATATTATAAGGTGATGTGTTAGTGCAAGAATTAATTGAAAGAATACCTGTAACTTAAACTAGTGGTTTCAGTTTCATTTTGGAAAGGACAGGAGGATTGATGACCTGTGTTAGTCCTGGCAAACATGGTCTCTCAGTTGATTTAACTTTCTTTTGAAACAGTCGACGGATGGAGCCTCAACCACATGCTGAGATAACTATTCAACATAGAAAGATAAGTAAATATATAATCATGATATTTCCTATCATTCATAATCCTATTTATCTCAACAAATTACCTATATATTTCAGTACTAAACAATATCCAAGTGAGATTCACTTTAGGTAGAACACTAAAGAGTATTCACAAAGATTAGTCCAAGTTTTTTTCGTCATTAGAGTCTGTAAACCATGAAGTTCATTACTAGTAATAATAGTGATAACATCTTCTACTAATTTTCATGAAAGAGTGTTTGTTAAGATACTGAGGCAGGTCATTTTATGTATTTTATTGTTTCAGTTCCCTGATGGTTAAAATAAGAAATAGATTTCTTCGTAAATTAGAATCTGCAATCACTCCTAACAAATAGATTACTGGGAATCAACAGTTGTTTGATGGAGAAAAAAACACTTTGTTTGTCAGTCAAGAAACATTTAATGTGTTACAATTTGTGGCCTTGTGTGCAATGACGTATATAACCCATCCGAGCAGTCTAGAGTCTTTATCAATCCTTCTTTCTGTCTAGCTCTGCCTGTTGAGTCCAGAACACCAATCTCAGCATCCGTTATATGAATTATGTTCATATGATGGAAAGAAAAATCAATATTCGATTGATATACTCATTATGAGTTTTGGTTCAAGATTACTTCCGTTTTGATTCAATGTAATGATTACTCAATGTAGTAGTTGTTTTCTTTTCTCGTATGAGATATTATTCTGTATAATATGCGATATTCTTGTATTCCATTGACATGAACTATGACCAGTATGTGACTTGTTATGACTCTAAGTATGTTTCATATACGTGATTACATTCTAATTATTGATCAAAATGGGTGTACAATCAATATAGAAATGAGTGTATTTTCTACTAGAGTTGTCGTCGTCGTTTGTTGGGGTTAGTAAATCATCAATTATACCAGTCTTTGTGTTCTTAATTTCGCGTCGTGGGAATCGCAGAGGTCTCTCGTTCTGAGTATAAGTGATAAGCGTTTCCAAAATAACAATCAGCGACGACCAGATACAAAATGTAGCATTAAAAGAGCCAAGACAACAAACATTCAAATGACAAGTTATAACATATGTATTTCAAACAATTACTTTTTACTTTATGCCTGTTACTCCCAATGGAGAATAGGCCACCGATCAGCATTCTTCAACCCACACTGTCTTGCACCTTCCTTTCTAGTTCGATCCAATTACTGTTCACTCTTCTCATGTCTGTTTCCATTTCTCGGTGTAATGTGTTCTTCGATCGTTCTCTTCTCCTTTAGCCTTCAGGGTTCCAAGTAAGGGCTTGCCTTGTGATGCAGTTCGATGTTTTCCTCAATGTGTATTCTATCCGCTTCCAGTGGTTCTTCTTGCTTTCTTCCTCCGCCGGAATCTGGTTTATTCTCTCCCACAGTATATTGTTTCTAATAATATCGAGCCAACGGATCCGAAGTTTTTTACATAGATAACTGTCAATAGACACCTGTATCTTTTGGAGGATGGTTTTCGTAGTTCATCAGGTTTCCGTCCCATACATTAGAACTTTCTCGACATTTGTATTGAAAATCCTGACCTTGGTGTTGCGTGATAGTTGTTTTCAGTTTTAGATGTTCTTCAGTTGTAATTATACTGCTCTTGCTTTTCCGATTCGCGCATTCACATCTGCATTAGATCCACCGTATTCATGAATAGTGCTGCCTAAATATGTGAAGGTTTTTACATCCTCCAAAGCTTCTCTGTCAAGTACGATTGGATTGGTACATGCTGTTTCGCATCGGAGAATCTTGTTTTTCTTTTTGTGTATATTGAGACCTACTGCTGCTGAGGCTGCTGCTACACTGGTCGTCTTCTCCTGCATTTGTTGTTGCGTTTGGAATAGAAGGGCCAGATCATCTGCGAAGTCTAGATCGTCCAACTGCGTCCTAGATGTCCACTGTATCTCATGCTTCTCTTCAGATGTTGATGTCTTCATGATCCAGTCGATCACCAGAAGAAAGAGAAAGGATGAGAGTAAGCAACCTTGACTAACACTAGTCTTCACTTCGAACGACTTTGTCAACTGTCCTCCATGCAAGATTTTGCAGTGTAATCCATCATATGAATTCCGTATGATATTGACTATCTTCTGAGGCATGCCATGGTGTCGAAGAATTTTCCATAGTATTGTTCTGTCCACGCTATCAAATGCCTTTTCGTAGTCAATGAAGTTGATGTAGAGTGATGAATTCTATTCAATTCATTGTTCCACAATGATCCGTAGAGTTGTGATTTGGTATGTACACGATCTATCCTTATGGAATTCTGCCTGTTGTTCTCAAAGTTGGGCGTCTACGGAGCCCTTCATACTGTTCAACAATACCACGTTAAAAACATTTCCTGGTATTGAAAGATTAGTGATGCCTCTATAGTTCTCACACATAATGAGATCACCTTTCTTTGATATCTTGATCAGGTGTCTTTCTTTCTAGTCTGCTGGTACTTGTTCTTCATCCGAAATCTTGCTGAAGAGAATGTGAAGTATCTTTGCAAACATACTTTTCAAACATACTAGATTCATATACAAACCAAGCAGGTCATATTGTACCATAAAATAGAAAAAACAAATTTGTACAAGGTCTATTCAAAGGTGGCTATCAATATGGGTGGCTTTATATTAATCGACTGGACATAATTCAAGAACGGTAAATCGTATCATAATACCCTATAGATTAAAATGAAGCTTATCATAAGATGAATATGAATATGCATAGTTTAGTTACATAACAATTATACAATACATATCTATGTATCTTAATGATTCATCAATAGATTCCGACAGTTACCATTCAATATTTCTCTTCAGGATATAATATCATACAAATAAAATAACTTCACTTTAAAACTTTACAAAATCAGCCAGTTGATTTAATGATGAAATAGTTGAATAAAACTTTACAATATCAAACATAAATATCCATTTAATTAGAAAACATTAGATAAATTCCATATTATTCTACATTCCTAATTAATTACTCATTTCTATTACCATAGTGAATAAGATTTAAAGAATAAGACACATAAACAATAATATGGATTTAAATGTTGTATATTATGATGATAGTAATAATAATAATAATAATAATAATAATAATAATAATAATAATAATAAAGTGATCTAAATGTATGCGTCATTTCAACATGTCATAAGGTTCTGGATCACAAAAAGCACTATCACTACTGATACACTGGATAAGATTCAAGAAAGGGGGAACAAGAAGGCAGCAATCAATACTAGACACATAAACATATAAAGAACAATATTAATATCATATAGATTTAAATGTTGTATATAATAATAATAATAATAATAATAATAATAATAATAATAATAATAACGATAATGTTATTATTATTATTATTATTATTATTATTATTATTATTATTATTATTATTAGTAGTAGTAGTAGTAGTAGTAGTAGTAGTAGTAGTAGTAGTAGTAGTAGTAGTAGTAGTAGTAGTAGTAGTAGTAGTAGTAGTAGTAGTAGTAGTAGTAGTAGTAGTAGTAGTAGTAGTAGTAGTAGTAGTAGTAGTAGTAGTAGTAGTAGTAGTAGTAGTAGTAGTAGTAGTAGTAGTAGTAGTAGTAGTAGTAGTAGTAGTAGTAGTAGTAGTAGTAGTAGTAGTAGTAGTAGTAGTAGTAGTAGTAGTAGTAGTAGTAGTAGTAGTAGTAGTAGTAGTAGTAGTAGTAGTAGTAGTAGTAGTAGTAGTAGTAGTAGTAGTAGTAGTAGTAGTAGTAGTAGTAGTAGTAGTAGTAGTAGTAGTAGTAGTAGTAGTAGTAGTAGTAGTAGTAGTAGTAGTAGTAGTAGTAGTAGTAGTAGTAGTAGTAGTAGTAGTAGTAGTAGTAGTAGTAGTAGTAGTAGTAGTAGTAGTAGTAGTAGTAGTAGTAGTAGTAGTAGTAGTAGTATAAATGAAATAAATCTATGCAATTAGTTCTAGTTGTTGAAATGTCGATGGCTTATTGATGTATAAAATGTAGCATGTAATATTTTCTAAAAAAAATATTGACATGCTACATCCTTTAAATTAGATTGTAGTTACTATCTGTAGTAAACAAGAACACAAATGGGTAATCGAATGTAAATAATGGCAGAATAAATATTGATGGAGAATAATATAAATTCATTATATTTCGTGGTTTCTTATCAGCTGCTTATAATCACTGATATGTATTAGAATTTCACTTTGAGATAAGAAATAGTATGGAACAATTGACATAATTAAATGTAAAGAATTTGAATGACAAAAGTTTTCTATATCAGAGTGAATATCAACTCTGAAATACAGGTACATCTTGCTGATGAGTCCCAAATGAGATGAAACAGGAGTCAAATCGGGTCCCACTGCTAGCCACTATCCATCTTTACTTAAAAAGCTTGTGACTGAAGGCAATATCGATGCACATTTGCCTGCATCAAACTGATCACTTGCAGTCCTAAACATCAGTGGGAAGATACAAGGAATCGGTGATGTAATAGTTGAGTGGAGTTCAGAGACAGATAAGATAAATTGTGTGATAATTTTAGAGGTAATAAAGGATTCATGGAATTAAAAACTGAAAAGATTCGTTACGTAATAATTGAATAGAATTTGAAGAGTTCACATAATTTAACAGAATCAAGTGAGTGGAAATGTATGAATGAAAGGGTGGTTTAGGAATTCTGAGAAACATAACCATTAAGAGTAAAAAATACTCGTAAGCTACTAGTATTTGATCACATATGTTTTACAAATATTGCTCGCATCTGCTGGGATCACCGAGTAAGCAATAGTGAGGTTACATGCAGCGTATTAGAGAATGATGGTAAATCAGTTGATGAGATTGTAAATCATCATCGACTGAGATGTTTGGGCCACGTGTGAAATATGTCTGAACACCGATTACCATGACGCACAATGCTGACTAGTGTTGGGAATGACTGGAAGAAAGTAAGGGGCGGCCAAACCAAAACATGGCATCAGTCTTTGAGGTCACTAACCTCTGGTCTGAGCCATATTGTTAGATGCAGACTAATTGGTTGTGGTCCGCGTGACTATCGTAACCAATGTTTGGAGACTGTGGCTGACATGGCTCAGAATCGATCACAATGGAGTAGGTGTATATACTTTCTGCCTTCCCTCAAACAATTAGATTAAAATTGCTTCATATCTTTCTTTCTACGTACTAAATCTTTTTTCCTGTATTATATCCTTATACAAAATTCTTCTTTTATATATTACCACCACTGAACTAACTACTTCTATGAATTCGGTGTTCATCTTGTTGTGCTAATGCGGTACGGCAACTTGGACTGATGGATATATGTGCCTGGTCTTACGTTTGACTGATTGACTGACTACACCTTTAAAATCACTAACTGGTAAATTATGCAGTGAATAATTCATCTATCAATTAAAACTAATAGACTCATGAATTAAAAGCACTACTTTATTCATTTATATTGAAAATATCTTTCCAATTCATATTTTCTTGTAGAGATAATCTGAACACATGGCTTAGATACTATACTCAGTTGGTTTTTATCATATAATTTAAATGACCTATTTTTCATAGTTAGACCTTCAAGTTTAAAATAATATTTTTCTTTGAACATAACATCAAACAGAAATTTTTCGAATATTTCAATACACTCCAAATATAATAACTGGTGACGTGTTGAAAAAAATTCCGTGCCTTCAATCTTCAGATTAACGAATTATGATCAGCCTGTAATTGGACAAAATTCAGTGTAATTATTATCAGTAATTAGCATACAGGGTTCTCGCCGGTGTCCTTCAACGACATTGATTGTTAATTAGTCATACAGTAATTTTCATTACCGTGCTGATTCGAAAAATGGCTATTTCTTCCGATCAATTGCAGTTGCAATTTGAGAGACAACAGCAGGGTTTCAAAAAGAGCCAGTTGAATATTTTATACAGTTTACGCACATGACTGCTAAATCATCCATGTTTTTAATATGCGACAAAAGTTGATGAATTCATTTCTAATTTGCATACCGAGCTGGAAAGTGACTGCAGAACGTATGGACGTGTCGATGAAAGCCTCCGTGAATCTTTAACTGTGAAGATATAGTGTACCGCCTTAATGGAACTCAAAAACTAACGATTATTTCATTTATGAACGTTTGATTTATAAATTGTGTATAAAATGATAAATGGAAGTACCCTGGATATATTTTTCTGGTTAGCGTTTTATAGCGAGTTAGTTTTTTACGGGATGGGGACGCCAGCCCCATGTCCAACCCTCCTCCTTTATCAGGGCTTGGGACCGGCATTAGCCCCCGGAGGGACTCCAGGCGGAGAGCAACGAAACATGTGGGTAGAACACTTCAAAGAACTCTTGAATCGACCAGCCCCACTGAACCCACCCAATATCGATGCCGCACCCACGGACCTCCGAATCAATGTTGGCCCACCAACATTTGAAGAAATCAGCATGGCCATCAGACAAATCAAGAGTGGCAAAGCAGCAGGACCAGACAACATTGCAGCAGGGGCACTGAAAGCAGACGTAGCGGCAACTGCAAGGATACTCCACATCCTCTTCAGTAAGATTTGGGATGAAAGACAAGTACCAAAAGACTGGAAAGAAGGACTCCTGATCAAAATACCAAAGAAAGGCAATCTCATCAACTGTGATAACTACAGTAGTATCACTATTCTCTCAATACCGGGAAACGTCTTCAACAGGGTACTGTTAAACAGTATGAAGGACTCCGTAGACCCTCAACTTTGAGAACAACAGGCAGGATTCCATAAAGATAGATCGTGTACAGACCAAATCACAACTCTACGGATCATTGTGGAACAATGAATTGAATAGAATTCATCACTCTACATCAACTTCATTGACTACGAATAGGCATTTGATAGCATGGACAGAACAACACTATGGAAAATTCTTCGACACTACGGCATGCCTCAGAAGATAGTCAATATCATACGGAATTCATATGATGGATGACACTGCAAAATCTTGCATGGAGGACAGTTGACAAAGTCGTTCGAAGTGAAGACTAGTGTTAGTCAAGGTTGCTTACTCTCATCCTTTCTCTTTCTTCTGGTGATTGACTGGATCATGAAGACATCAACATCTGAAGAGAAGCATGAGATACAGTGGACATCTAGGATGCAGTTGGACGACCTAGACTTCGCAGATGATCTGGCCCTTCTATCCCAGACGCAACAACAAATGCAGGAGAAGATGACCAGTGTAGCAGCAGCCTCAGCAACAGTAGGTCTCAATATACACAAAGGGAAGAGCAAGGTTCTGCGATACAACACAGCATGCACCGATCCAATCACAATTGACGGAGAAGATTTGGAAGATGTAAAAACCTTTACATATTTGGGCAGCACCATTGATGAACAGGGTGGATCTGATGCAGATGTGAATGCGCGGATCGGCAAAGCAAGAGCAGCATATTTACAACTGAGGAACATCTGGAACTCAAAGCAACTGTCAACCAACACAAAGGTCAGGATTTTCAATACAAATGTCAAGACAGTTCTACTGTATGGGGCGGAAACTTGGAGAACTACGAAAGCCATTATCCAGAAGATACAAATGTTTAATAACAGTTGTCTACGCAAAATACTTCAGATCCGTTGACCGGACACTATTAGCAACAACGTACTGTGGGAGAGAACAAACCAGATCCCAGAGGAGGAAGAAATCAGAAAGAAGCGCTGGAAGTGGATAGGACACACATTGAGGAAATCACCCAACTGCGTCACAAGACAAGCCTCCACATGGAATCCTGAAGGACAAAGGAGGAGAAGAAGACCAAAGAACACATTACGCCGGGAAACGGAAATAGACATGAGAAAAACGAACAAGAATTGGATGGAACTAGAAAAGAAGGCCCGGGACGGAGTGGGTTGGGGAATGCTGGTCGGCAGCCTATGTTCCATTAGGCGAAACAGACGTAAGTACGTTAGTAAGTACGATGGATACATAAGCAGCTTGATAGTTGTGTTAGTTCTCAACCACACGATTCTCGCAACCAAAAGTACGGTTACTGAAAATATTTACACTCAAGATTTGACACCATGGAGAAGGTCAGAAGTGGTGAACGCGGCAAGACAGAATCTGTACAGCATGGCTTGATCATGTAAGTGAAGTCGCTTTTTTTAACTTCTTGTTCACATTAAATACATTATTTTATCCTCTGCCCAAATAAGTTCTTCAGAAGTCCTAAAAACTATATTGCAGACTGTCACTGTAGGACGAGTCAGAATATTAATGATATGTTTTTCGCATAATATCTTATAGATAAGGTAGTTGCATGATGGAAAATCTTCAATTTCTGGATTAGGTCTATTATTCCAACAACAAAGAAGAATGCACATAATACAAACCTAGATATTAATCTTACAGCTTAAAACTTTATTGTGTAAGTATGAATATAAGTGATAAACTGGATAGGAATTTGTCACCGTTGTTGATAGGCTGCCGTCAGAAGACTAATGTCGTATCACTGACTAATTATAAGGTCGTAAAACCTACGTCGTTTTAAACTTCTATGTACTTTAAGGAAACACAAGGTATCAATCCATTCCATTGTGCTGTTTTTGTGGTGCCAACTGAAGTGACACCGACTTTGATGAACATATGGATACGCTATGAACGTACACTTAACTCCGTATATTACCTAGGTCAACCCCGGTTTTGTAAAGGTGGTAATAAGAAGCCAAATACGAGTGGGGTTGAAGAGATTTATTTCAGGCATTTGTTTATCCAGACAGAGACTCAGAATAAGGGGCAGCAAAGTGAAGAGAGAGCAAAGCGAAACAAAATAACGCACAGAGGGGAAGGTGAGTGACCTAACTCTACTTAGTTAAGCGAGAATTCATATTGATGGTCAAACGAAAATACATTACGAACATATCATGAATAGCATAAGTAATTAACATGTTGTTTATTTTCAGGAATTAGATCCTCATACAGATTTGACATACATAAGGCCATTTGTGACGAATAGTAATGATCCAAAAACAACCTGATTCAACACGCAATATTGTGACTAGTTCCAAAGTGCTTGGTGCTGTTGATCTTTTTGTCACTCGCTCGATTCAAAATAAATGTCGGGCTCATCGATGTAGAATCATAGTATACTTTGTCATCGGTACTAGTGTAGTGGCATTGGACCATAACCACACAATCCTCAAAGTTGAATGCGAGGTTACTCGGAAAATAGATATTTAATATTTAACGCGGAGAAATACCTAACGATGGAGAAGGCGCGAAGGAGGAATTGAATGAATTAGAGTTAATCGAATGGTATGGCTCGGCCATGAAGGCGAGGTTCCTGCTGATCGTTACCTTATGTCTTTCATTCATATTAAATATATTGTTCTTTCTCTAGCCGAAGCTTGTTCTTCATCATGTATTGCTAGTTGTTGTGGTACAGTGAGTTGGTGTAGACGATGATGTGACTTTCACGTAAGACCTTATAGATTAGGCAGTTATATCATGACAAATCTACAATTTTAGGATTAGGTCTATTATTAGAGCACTACTATTACCATAATACACCATAAATCTACACTATTACAATAATAGACTTAATCCTATACTTGTAGATATGTCGTGATGTAACTGCTTAATATATAAGATCTTACGTGGAAGTCACATCATTATCTACACCGAATCATCGTCTTGTAACAATTATCAATGTGATACGTACTACTTTTGAAGAAAAAATTAAGGCTGAAAATAGGACAATATATTCAATGTGAATAAAGTCAAGTTATACAGAATGGCCACTTCTACAAGACGGAGCCGTGCCATCCGACTGAATGAATATCCCCGCGTTCACCATTTTTGACCTCCTTTCCGTGTTAGACCCCGAATATCTGTTTTCCCAGTCATTTCATTTTCAGCTTTGAGGATTTTAGGGTTAAGACCAATATCACTACAAACACACATACGGTCATATCAAGGCAGTGAATGTTAATAAGATTATAATTAATTAAATCAAAATGTGACTCAAGAAGAATTTATAAACTGACCTGTCTTGAAGCTAGAATAACTCGCATGGGCTTGACAAGGTACAAGACACTACACTGGCAAAGAACATTGTCGAGATTTTAAACCGATTAAAATCTCTCAGCCAACTCATTAGCTCAGATTTGATGCATTGCTAGAAGTCCAGTAAACGTATGAAACTAAGGTACTTGACTTTATGTCTCAAAACAAGTGGCTATGATACATGATCGTAAAATACTAATACAATGCTCCTGTTGATTTTTCATTGTTTGGTAAAGCCTGTCCCATATGATCAATAACTATAAAAATGCTTGTGAAATTTTGATGTTGAGAAGGAGAGAATTCGATATATAAAAGAATATGACAGCTGTCAGACGTTGTAAACTTATCC